CCTTTGGATTAAAAGTAATTAAAAAACTTTCACATAGTTGGGTGAAAGTATTTTTTTTGTGCATAAACGACACATGTCGACTGTTTCGCGCACAGACAAGCGATTTTTTGTTGATGAATGATTTTATAACGTTCCGCGCCGAATAATGGGATCAACGAACAGCAAAATCTAACAGTAAAAGCATGAAGGAAAATTGTAAATGTATTATATGCAGGTCACCATCTTCTGACTAGTGCTGATACGAACATATCACATTACATATTGTCTTAAGACGTAGTTACGGTAGCAGGTTTAGCCACTTTATTTTCCTAATTATCGGCAATAATTGCCTTTCAACTTCTTGGCGAAAAAATATATATTTCAAGCAATAATCAATTGTAACGGGCTTATAAGGTCAATGTCAGTTTTAATTAACATAGCAATTTAATATATGGTGGCTTTATTAATTGTTGCCTTAGTTTTTGTCTGTTGGTTAACAGAACATTGCTGGAGTGAAATTTTCGTCTCCAAATTGCATTTTTAATGCACATGTAAATTGTTCAAAATTGTGCTTGAAAATCAATCAATGACATACTTGAGATACACTAACCAGCATGCAACATGTTACAACACTTCTTCAATTATTTATTTGCAGACATTTGATCGATTTTCTGGTCAGCTTAATTGAATTTATGTTGGTGAATGTTGCCATCGATAAAGGAAAACCAAAATTGTTTAGTAATCGGTCGATTTTTAATAAGTTTTCCTTGTGAAATGTGCCTGGGCAGACTAATGAAAGAGAAATTGTCTGTTCCGCATGCTTAGAGTATTTTTCGCGAGTAATTCAGTTTTCCTGGTAAGCAAGTCTTCTGAGGGCCTAGATGCAGATGTACGTAAAGTGTAGTTTGGCAATAAATAATTAATTAAAAACGAGGAAAATTTAGTTAAGCAATAAGCGAGACGGAGAAATAAAGACTGTTGTTTCGTTAATTAACTTAATGTGGCATATTAATGCTTCAATATTTTGTTCGATTTTCATTATAGAAGAGACTGTAGAGCAAAAAGCAATACTTTCAGAATCTTTTCCTTGCAAAAGTTTTCCAAAGATGCGGTTTTTGTGAAGCTGACAAAGACAAAATCGACACAAACAACTTGTTATTTCCATTCGAGAGATATTTGCCCTAAATACCGTTGTTGTTTAAAAATTGACGAGATCAGTTCATTCGGTCTTTGCATTCGGGGAATTTCGCGACTTTCATGAAAACCGTCGTAAATTTCTAAACATTTCTGGCATTACCAGCAACAACATTCAATCAAGCTTCTGCTAAAAATTCCGCTCATTCTTCACGCTTCTGGAATTATCTTCCAGGCTTCATAAAAGTTATCGGAAATTTTTAAGAATGTGCGAATTCACTTTCAAGATTGAAGAACTCGGGAACAGAAGAAGCTGTGTTCTCAATCAGATACGAGCTAGAGGATTTTTTGCCACTTTGTCAAACGCAAATGCTTTCACTGAAAGTAAATGATTGAAAAAGAAAGAATGCTGGTTAAAATTTACAATTTTCCATTTTCTTTTCCATTTAGCAGAAAATCGATGAAAAACTTTCCTGTTCTTCAATGGTGAACATGATTTGATTATAGCTTGTTTATCCGCAAGGTTTTTATTGGTTTATAGTCATCAGTATTTGCTTCCAAATTGGAGTTTTTTAAAAAGGTTTAAATGTTCTTAAATACTGTTTGTCTTTGTAATGCTAATCCTGATTAAAACATTTTGTATTTTTAGGCTATTAATTTGTATGTTTTCTTAACAAATTGGTTATTAGTTACGTCCGCAWATGCTTTGATTGTTTCCAGATTGTTTTGCGTGWGCAACGGCCTTCTGCTGCTTTGGTGCGATTTTTTTTTAGAAAATATGCAAACATTTTTCAAACTTCTTTACTTAACTCTCCTCTGACCGTTACTGTTTCCAGCTGGTTCTTAATCAGRMTTTTRTCGCCTTGTTTCTATTTGAAAATGGTTTTCAGTTTCTAATATACGTGTCTAATTCAAAATATTTTCCTTTTGATGTTAGCTGGATTAAAGTTGCGCCTTTTGTGCCTTCATCTACGTGATTACAACGACTTTAAAAATTTTTTTTTACCTTTAACTTACTTCGAATTCTTCAAAATGTATTTTTCAGAAAATCTGCAACTTTTTCTCAATCTGCTCGTTCTTGTTCCATTAATATTGAAAAATTTTAAATTTCTTATGGATGATCTCAATTGAGAAACGTGTTCAGCTGGATCTTTCTAGTAAACTCATCTTCACTTCCGTGAATGCGATTACATAAGCGATATCAAATTTTACTTTCTCGCTGTGATCTCTCAAGAAAATTGTACATTGTTACCACGAGCAAATGCAACTTGCTATTGCTAAATTTTTTTTCCGTTAGCGTCTTTGGCTTTTAGCAGGAAATTTTTAAAGGATGTGCAACATTTTTTCCAGCTGTTCTTCTTTGCAAAATTAGTGTTGACACATGWTGCCAATTTKWSAYAAACTTATGATTTWGTCAAGTTGCAAGTAGAATCTTCTRAATTTACTTCAATGCACTTTCAAAGGGAATTAATTTGAATTTTTGGGTGTGTTTTCATTATTAATATTTGCTTAATTCAAAAGAAATACAGTCAGGCAAATATACACAATTAATATTTGCCCCAACTGATAACTGATGAAATTTATTAAATTTGTCTTGACCAATTTTTGTCTATTTTGGGAAAACGAATGCATCTGAAATCTAATCTACTTTAAGGCTACCAAGTTTCAAGTTTAATCTTCCATATTTTCCGCGCGGATACAAATTATTCACTAACAATATAAATTCACACATTAAGCTTTGTTATACACATATGTTTGCCTATAAAATAAGTTTTGATCCTCAATAAGTTCTTCTGGCAATTTTAATATTTGTGCAACGTACACTTTCAATAGTTTTAAATATTACTGCAATTTTTGGATTAGCAACGATATTAAATTAGGAATTTTTAACTTGCTTGAAACAATGACTGCTAATATTGAATCCTTATATTTAGACAAAACGAAACTTTTATTGGAAAATGGCTGTTCAAACGCACCCTTACCAATAAACAGGGTGATGTAGTTTTCATTACTTATCTAATATTGCTTATTATCTAATTTACTTTACTTATCTCTCATCTGCCAGTTACTGTTTCGAGCTGGTTCTTAAGCAGGATTTCATCGCCTTATTTCGCTTTGAAAACTGTTTTAATTTTCTAATATACGTGTACAATTCAAAATATTTTTCTTTTGATGCTAGCTACTGTAAAGTTGAGTTCTTTGTATCTTCTTTTTTGACTCTCTTCTGATTCTTCAAGTATTATTTTTCTGAAAATCTGCAACTTTTTTCCAATCCGCTCGTTATTCTTCCATTAATATTGAAAACGGTTTTCTATTTCTGATAGATGATTCCAATTGAGAAACGTGTTCAGCTGGATATTTCATCTTTCTAGTAAACCCATCTTCATTTGCATCACTGCGGTTACATAAGCGATATTAAATTTTACTTTCCCTTTGTGACCTTACAAGAAAATTGTTCCTTTTTCCTTCAAATGCGACTTGCTATTGCTCAAAGAATTTTTTTGTTCAGTAAGCGCCTTTAACTTTTAGCAGAAAATCTTCAAAGGAAGTGCAACATTTTCTCCAGCTTGTTTGTCAAGTTAGTGTTAACAAATGTTTCCAATTTTTGATTCATCTATGATTTTTTCAAGTTTCAACTGGAATTTTCTTCGATGCGATTTCAAAAAGCATTAAATTTAATCTTTTTGGTGAGGTTTTATCATTAGTATTGTCCATGAGTTCTTCTGGTTCCTAAGCAAAAAGTTGTTCCTAAAAGCTGTATTATTTGCACAGACTGCTTTATTTTTTAAATTTCTCTTTACCAAAGTTCAAGTTGAATATT